TACGAAGAGAGATGCTCCCCTGTTGCGTTCTGGTGAAAAGGAAAATTTGAACCGGGCGTGTTGACTTAAGACTTTCAAGACCAAGCGGATAGCCGTCCTGGGCAGCAGTGCTCCTGTTTTTTCTGTTTACAGAATAAAATAGTTCGTCATTATGAAAACCAGGTTACCTGCGTGTGTGTTTTTCGCCAATGGCCAGGAGGACGATGTCTTCTGAAACTTTTCCATTTTGTGACCGTAAAGATGAGCCCGGCCGACGTCAACGCTTATTAGGATACGAGTCCTCCACTTCAAGACCAGATAAGTCAATTTATTTTTTTTGTGTTTGAACTTCAAGTAAGGTTTTCAAAAACGTTTTTCCTTGGAATTAAAAACAACGTCGAATCTTAAATTTAATTCTCAGGCTTTCAATTGTTTCCCTTTCCCCTTCTAAATTACCAAGACAAACCTTAATGTTTTTATATGAATTTAAATGGAAAAAAAAAAAAAAGTAAATGACAAATTGAAGAATTCCACTTAGACTCTCTGATGAGGATAAGATTTTATTTTATTGGTTGAATGAATTCGAATAAACTGATATTTAGTCTGGAAACCTATTACAGTATGTTTTCTTTATATATTTAATATGTTTTTCCTATATATCTTGTATATGTTTTTCTTATGTTTACGATCTTTCTCACGGCGCGGTCCCGGGATGCAATTTTTACAACGCAAATGCATTAAAAAATTCACTATACGATCACTAAAAGTTTGGTAATTATCAAATTCTTAAGAGTTTAGTTTCCTCCCTAAGAGGAAGAAGCAACCTCTCACGGCAAGTAGTTTCTTATTTAACAATGGTGCGTGAGTTAAGCTTCATAACATTATTTCCCGGCGTAAAGTAAGCTACATAACACAATGTGGATCTATGCATGTACCAAAAAGACAAAACATGCTTTGAACAGTATCACACAAAAATGTGTTCTTTGAAATAAATAAATAATAATAAAAAAAAAAACTGAGTTTCTTTTTTAATTCTTACTTTACCGAGTGTTTTTATACATTTATCCGAACGTCCTTATTATATTGGTAATTATATTTTTGCTGCTATAGAAGAATTACAAAAATGTTTATTTTTTAACTTTTTTTTATGATTTACTTTGTAAAATAAAGTAAAAAATTTACATATAATGCAACTCTTACATACATTTTTTTTTAAATTCATAAATTTTGTCATTTATTGGAAACGCTCATGGAAAAGGTAAGTTTTTCCCCCTTACTACCTCAGTAAGTTTCAAAGTTCTAGACGTGTTCTGGTTTCACAGTGCGACCACCACTCACAGAACAAAGGGCAAGAATAGATTTTTTTTAAATTCATATGAAAATAGTCTCTAGGATCATAATATTCAATTTCTAGAGTTTATAGTTAAATTATGAAAATAATATCACGCACATCAAAAGGTTAATGAATAGACATAATTTTGCATAGAATAAAAATGTTTGTACATAAATTACATTATGATTAATATCTATCTGAATATTTTGTACTGTCACTGATTAACATTTAAAAAATCCAAGTTATGGAAAAAGTGTAGCATGTTGAGAGTTCTTTATGACAAGAAGGAAGATCAACAAGAATGTCATCATCAACATTCTGCAATTTTTTACAAGATGTTTATATCAATTAACTAAAGCCTGGCTCAAATACTGCAACATTATGACTTATGACAATAATTCAAGATGCTAATATATGGATTTGCTAATATTTAAGATATATTTTTAGGCATGGCACTTTAAAATTTTACAGAAAATTTAAATAAGAGTTGTTTTTATTCAACATTCAATGCCAGAATAATAACAAATTAAATATTTTTCTAATTACGAAATAGAAAACTGTATTACAGATTAGCATGCAAAATTTCTCCAAACTTCTTTAATAATATATTACAGAAGACCAGAAATGTATGATAAGAATTCTGCATTGCTCAAAATGTGATTTCAGTTGGCCTAAAATATGTTTGTTTTCACAAATATTAACTCACGTTTATATATACAGTACTTACATATTAATCTATTGACTGTGAAATTTAGTAGCGATCCCACCAAAATTGCACCAATCATTCTTGCTGAATTCTGAAGCAACTTGTACTTTATCTAATAAATAATCAGTATTTGATACGGTACAATTTTTCACTTTGTAAAAAGGCTTTCATGGATTTCTACTGTTATGTTAGGCCCTTTGATTTCACTACAAGATCTTTTTGTAACGCAGTACAAATTTCACATTAATTGTTTTGTCAGTCACATTCAGTTAATCAAATTGTGTCCATTAAGACACTTTTATTGATGGTAGGATGTCGTAACTCAGAAAATAATCTACTGTTTACTATTTTGTAGAAGGCAGGTTGCAAATTTTAATAAACTTTTTTCCAAAATGAAAGAAAAAAATGCAGCAATCACTGTTAAATTATATCCTTGTTCATAAAAACAAAACATTCCTTATAAAGAATCAAGTGGAGTTACATCAAATGAAAGTGTGGATGTTATGAGTATGTAAAACCACACTTATCTGTAACTGGCACAAAATCACACTGCTTGACAAGAGTTTTACTCTCAACAGGATAACACTTAAGCACCACATATACTTTAAAAATGCTTTGAAAGAAGATACAAAAAATGCACAAGAAAGAAAAAGTAATCAAGAGCTTACTATAATTTTGAAGTTATATTATGCCTAATTGAAAATGTTTATATGTAACTATAACCCTACTTTAAATGAACTTAAAATTCAAAAAATAAATATAAATTAAATAATAAGTAAGTACAATAAAAAATTCAAATGACAAAAATTGATTTTAAAAACTATAAAATGGCATATGGGGTAAAAGTATAGTTTAGGGTACCCTTTGGCGATTTTTGGCGGTACATGGATACCGAGGACACACAATTATACAAACTCGGTATCCATGTACACATCGACTTATTTTCACTTAAAAAAAATCCCTGAATTGCACAAAAATGGCATTGCACACTCTTTGAACTTTATCAATGTACACGTCGACCTATTTTCACTTAAAAAAAAATCCCAGAATCGCACAAACTTGCATTGTGCACTTCCTTTACTTTGTCTATGTACACATCGATATATTTTCACTTCAAAAGTCAAAGGTGTACCAAATTCTACAATATAGGCAAACAAAAAATACATTATCTCAATAAAATACATTTTAAACCAAACAATAAGATAACATAAAAAAGGAAAAACATGTTATACATTTAAGCACTACCAAAAGCAAATATTTACTTACCATGTTTTCGAGTTCGCTTCGTACCCAGAGCCAGTAAAAAATCAAAATATCAATCATACTCAATGACTTTTTCAAACCAGGTACTCTTTCTGATCGAAGCTTCACATAGTGACCATTTGAACTTTCTTCCTACAAACCCATTCAAATCCACTAAACGTTTTTTACGTTCGACTACGCATATCCTTCCTAATACAGGACACTTATAGTGCTACTAATAACCTTCATTTACACACCAGTCAATTAAGCTCTTTTCCCCTTTTGGCTCCAATCGTACAGAAACTTCAAATTAATCTTACTACATTCGGCCATTCTACCGTCTAAAGAATCAAACCAAAACACACCCAAAAAACGCTTACAAAACCTCCCATGATTCAAAATTTCCCAGAATCATGCACTCGATTACGTCACAATAGGGTTTCCATAACATTCAACTACTCAGGCTACCATAAATGAAACAACAACTTGGCGATAAATCAAACAACAACTCTGCCATAATACAAAGGGTACCTTAAAGTCCACTCTACCCGGCATATGGAATAAACTACATTAAAAAACCTCTGAACATTAATCTTTAATATTTATTCAAAACTTACTCCCAAATAAATATTTTTCTGCATAAAGGGACACTTTTATTTTTTCATTGCATTTCGTTAAATTTTCATTTAATGCATTTTGTAGTGAAAATATATAAAGTACCTGAATGACAATGATTTCCAATTTTAGCATTAGCACAATTCTAGCTATTAACTTGCATTTGAAAATTTTAAAACTTTTTGGGAAAGGAGGGAAAAAAATATATATATAAAGGCACTTCACTAACATAAGATGAAATGAAATCCAATTGACAAATCCGAAATCTCTTTTTGGTTCTTATGTATTATTTCGGCTATAAAACTCATGCCAAGAAGTGTGGTTTAGAGCCAATTATGGATAACAGCACACTAATAACATGCACTTTTGTTTGATGTAACTCCGACTGATTCTCAGTAAGCCATCTTTTGTCTAACCTTTACTTAAAAAGATAGTAGAAATCAATGAAAGTTTTTTTACGGAGCCCAAAAATGAAGATGTTCAAATTCTAATGTTTTTAAATCAGGAGGTATCAGTTCTTCAGAACTCAGCAGGAACAATTGGCGGAATCTCCGCCAGCTTATAGTTCGATGGTAGCCATCTGTCACAGTCGACGGGATAATACATAAGTACCATCTTTTTATAGCCCGATAGCTTTTGTGTAATAACATAAAGAACAGATAATTTTTTGCCACTGATTGAACAGAACTGTTGCACACTTATAGCTGAATCCAAGTTCATTTCCTAGTGACTGAATGGTGTTTTGTGTAACATTAATATGGCAGTTTTTAGAAAGTTTTTTTACAAAGACAGGCTCCTTTCTTCTTCTAAACAGCATGATAAAGTTCAGCAAAAATGAAAGATCATAACTTTTAAGAAAGCTTTATCAATTCTAAAAACTTCTTAATAAAAGATAGCACAGAACTATGTTTAAAAATACTTTTCTACTTAAGTATAAAAGCATGGCAGCTGATTTACAGAAATTTACAAAGATCCATTTAAAACAGTTTATATTTTATTAATATGCATATTATATATATCAAGATAAATATTTTAATTAAAAAAATAATACACATATTTTACATCTGTACTAGCTAGCACAACCATTTCTCAAAATTGAGAATGTGCACTCATAATGTCACTTACCTGTTTTTTTAATAGCATGCTTCTTTTGGTCAGCAATAAGCAGATAATAGACACATTTATGAACCTGTGCAACAAAATGAAAGAATCAGCTATACACTAAAGTAAAAAAAAAAAAAAATGTGTAAAAATATAGAAAGCAAAATTAATATTCTATAATTAAAAAAAGAAAGAAAAGGCAACAGAATGATGCATAAACTGATGATATCAAATACAAAAGTTAAACCACTAAAAAGCTAGGTACCGTTACCATCAGGTCCAATGGTATCCGGACATAATCCCGACAGCCGAAATCCCGACAAGCCAGAATCCCGACAAGCGAAAATCCCAACATGGTCGAAATCCCAACAAGCCAAAATCCCAACAGGGTCGAAATCCCGATTGTCCAATATCCCGACAGGGTCAAAATATCGACATGGGCGAAATCCCAATAAGGCCCTAATATCCTTAATACTTCCACTTAACTAGTATGCTTTTATGACTAGCAAATCTGAAGAAAATTACAAAAATTATTCCAAGATTAAATTGATTTCGCTGAAGAAATAATATTGAAACTGAGGCCATCTAGAATCATTAGTAATCTAGAAAGGCAGCTATAAATGCTTCGCGTACTCAAAAATGCTGTCGAGGATTGCACAGAAGATGGAGACCTAATTGGACGGACATGTTGGCATTTATAACATCATAGAAGGATTTCAAAAAGAACAGGAGCATGTGAAATAACAAGTTGAATGCATTCTTCATGGAGAACAAACAACGAAATGTAGAAAGGTAGATGATGACAGAGAAAGGAGAATTATGACTGTTGTGGACGATTGTGATAATCGACCTGTGATGGAATATCTTCGTGCTATCGCTCACAACGTGTCACAGTAAATATGTCGTTTGCATGTCTAAGTGATTTTTCTTTTCTTAATAAAATAATTTTATAAATCTTCATTTCAATTTTAACGGTCATTTCAATTTGTTAAAAATTATTTTAAGTAATGTATAATTTTATGATTTTTTGATTTAACTTTTAATTAGTAAATGTAATAGTTAGTTAAAAATTGTATTAAGCTAAATTGAGTGTTTGTATTTAGATATTAACTGTCGGGATTTGGGACAGCGGGATTTCGCCCTGTCGGTATTTTGGACACTCGGGATTTGGCTTGTCGAGATTTCAAGTTGGGACTTGGTTCGGGATTTCGGCCCTGTCGGGGTTTTGGACAGTCGGGATTCTGGCTTGTCGGGATTATGACCCAGACCCAGGTCCAATAATAATGATTTCAAAACTCAAATTCCTAGATAATTTTTAAATCAACTTCAATTGATTAAAATTATTTAGGAATTATTTTAAATTCCTCTTCAATTGATTCCATGGATACTTTCCAGTGCTTCAGGCCATGGCCACTGACCAGTTGAGCAGTTCCACAGGAATCAGGGGCAGAGTTGTGACACACTCTTCATTTCCAAAATTATATTGAGATGAAATGTTAATTAAATAGATGTCCAAAACGACTTCACAGAAAACAAGTAACTGCTTTCTATAAACTTAGAAAGTGCACCTTAAAATCAGTAGTGCTTGCAAAGATAAAATGTTAAGTAAAGTTATTTAAATAATTCCAATGTACATATTTTGTTAAAGTTTAAATTTTTTTAAGAATTTCAATAAAAACCCATCAGCAAAATTAATAAAGAGCTCTTATTGCATCAACAAACATTTTTCCCAGACATCCCCTCTAAAAAATTGCAGGTAGAAATATTATCAGAGAATAAACAATTGATATTTAAGAATTAAAAAATTAAGGATTGATGCTTGCTCAGTAGTTACTCATGACAATAACTAACATACACTCATTCACACACACAAAATAAAAATAATAATAAAAAAAGCTTTTCAACTTTATTTTTACTTGTCTACAGTCAAAGATAAGCCTGCTTGATTTACTTACCAAAGTTTCTATATCAGTTTCTCCAATATTCCTCTGAAAGAAAAGGTCAACTTTTACAGAAAGAAATTCAAAAAGAATATACTATGAATGATTGTGCAAAACCGAATAAAATATTTGATTTTGTTCAAAAAGTAATAATTTTATTTCTATTAATTGAATAAAAATTATATAATATTTATTTATGTTATTTATTATTTTTTCCTTTCATCACTGCATGACTAACAATATCTTGAAAACTGACTCATGTCTAAACATTTTTTAAAAATATTAATAAGTGAATACCAAAGAAGCACGATAACCTTTTATGTTGATGATGATTACACACTTCAGGTAACTGTGCTGTGAAGTGCTGAGTGTGTTGACAAGCAGAAATTTAATAACTTTCTTTCCATATTTAAAAAAAAAAAAAAAAAAAAAAAGATTTTATAAATGATGCTTATGAGCCAAAATGTTACATTCAGACCCGTTTGAATAAAAAATAAGTGATGGTTATTTAAATAAGCCCAGGATTGGCAACAGAGCTCGTGTCCCCACACCGGGTGAGCTAATTTAGGGAAAGAAAAGTTTCAGACTTTACAGAAGCAATGAGTAACAATATTAAGGGATGGCAAAATCTGTAGAATTTAGAAAAAGCATTGGAATGCAAAATTTAGGGTGGTAAGATTTTTGAATATTGAATTTTTTTAAAATATATGACACACAGAGACTGTTGTGGGTCACAAAATATCTAGGTGTGTGTGTGTGTGTGTGATTATGGCAAAGCCTCGAGGGCTATCTGCCTAAGGGAAGGGATGCCTTCGTGGAGGACTTTCTAAGGAAAATTGGGTCATATACATGTTACACATGGAGAAAACCACGAAAACGCCCATGTAGCCAGCCTGTTCACGGGATTCGAACCTCGGACCGAACTAGCATGTTCAGCGACTTTACCGCTCGGCCACTGGTGGGCCCACACAAAATATCTAGAGACAGCCTTAAGTATATATAGGAATTTAGTTATTCGGGACTCAGTCTTTAGTATGTGCAAGAAACAGGCATTAGTAAAATGAATGGCTAAACTAATACAATTCAGGCTTAACTTCGTTAGCATGTGACAGAAGCAAGAAAAAAGTTAGCGGAACAACAAGTGTTTAGTCACCAATCTTGTGATATACCGGCAATAGCATACAGGTAACGCTAACTGAACTTTATGATGATAAGCGGGAAATTTGAAAGTGTTCAGATATCAGAAATTAAAAAGGGCAAAATTTTGCAAATAATGGAACATGTGGAGAAGTGGTAATAAAATAAAGATGATGTAAGAGAAGTTCTTCATTGTGATGACAGTGCCCAAACGGACAGCCAACGGACCGTAAAATCTGTAGTATGGTTGATTCTAAATCTAGAAACTATCACTACTACTACCAGAAAATAACACTAATGGTGAAAAAAGTAACAGAACAGTTGTTGGGGGGGGACTGACTGCCAATTAAATGGAAATTCATGGTATGGCAACTACCGGATTTGAAAAATAGATCTTTGTAACTGAACCAAAAAATTATGGCTATCTATAGAATTAAAGAGAAAACATTGGGGGGGGGGAAATCAAAGCAACTCAAACAACTTACAATTAAAAGAAATCTTGAATAAAGCAAACAAATCAATATTGAGCTTACTCCCCTCCTTGTAAATTCGGATATTCCTTTGAAGCCATAAATGCTTCATTACTTCACTATTTCATATTTTTAATTTTACAATTTTTACATTCCATCTTACTGAATTAAAGCTGCTGATCTAATATGAGAAAAAATCCTAAATCTGGAATTGCCAAAGTCACGGTGAGTCTGGATCTTGGATTTTGTACTGTACACCGAAAATTCAAAAGGGAGGTGCAAAACTGTCTAGCTACATATACAGAAATTTACAATGACCTGGTAAGAACTAGTAGGCAAAGTAAAATTACAGGTTTTTTAGAGAGGAAAGAAGATGAAAGAACTTTACATGAAGAAAAAAAATTCTGAAAGTGAAAGTGATCTCATTCCACGGAAAAAATGTTATCGTTAGATTATACTGAGAAATGACAAAGAAATTTATTAAACTAAAGTTGTGTTAAAATATGTAATATTGTTTGTTTTGTGCTGTGCATACATATATAGTTTTAATAAAAATAAAGTTGTTTATGTAGAATAAAAAAAAATTCTTTTTAATAAGTTTTCGGAATGTAACCCCCCCTTTTTATACTGGCTTTGGGTTTCGTATAACACAATTTCACATAACACTGTATTTTCTAGAAGAAGCCTTTCTACCGTGTTATGCAACGGTTTCGCAACTCTAAATTTCATGAGGTAACACATTTCAAAACTGAGCACACATATTCAACAGGTTTGTTAACCAAATTAAAAGAAGCCCCATGGTATAATGCAGTTAAAAATTTTTAGTGAAAAAGCTTCAGTTGATATTGAAGAAACTGAACAATTTACAGATGAATTCATTAATAGCGAAAAGTTATCTTCAGAACAATGGTGGCAAAACTGGTCTTTTCTAGCAATATGTGCCCAAAATATCTTGGAAATCTTCTGCAGAAAAAGGCCAAACTTCAGTCAAAGATTCCAAAGTGAAAGGAATGCAAAAATGTAAACTTTTTGTAATCAGGAAAAATACATAACCTGGGGCATTTAAAGGAGTAATATATTAGTTTTAGGTAATAAAATAAAACATTTAAGGCTTAGAAATGGGCTTTCAACATTAATTTCTTTATTAAGAATAACTGTTAGAGCAGGGCAAAATGCAAAGTCTATCTTTTTAATCAAAATAAAACATACAGATGCGTGCATACAGGTTTGTAATGGACTACACGCACACAGAACCAGTGGTAGCTTGACATAATTTATCTTTCCAAAAGAAACACAAAACAATTTTCCACAAAAGAAAAAGAAACATTTCCAAAAGAAACACAAAACAATTTTCCACAAAAGAAAAAGAAACATTTCCAAAAGAAAACACAAAACAATTTTCCACAAAAGAAAAAGAAACATTTCCAAAAAACTACATTTCTGGAACTTTTCAAAAGCACTTGTACAGCTCTTCTAACTATAACAGAGCACAACAAATAGTTACCACTTCAAAATACTAAGAAGGTTAAAAACAATGCAACGCAAAGCACATCTAAAGAGCGAAGCTTGCACTGAGACCTCAAGACTATTCCAAATTGAAATTCTATTCCAAATTGAAAAACCTCGAACTGACGCTCTCCCCCCGATTCATAAAATTTACCTCAGACGCCAAGACATTTCTAGTACCTTCCACTTCTCAATATTACTAGTAAGCATATACAGTTAAAGTTCCATATAGGAATCAATTACAGTTATACAGAGACTAGACCTAAATGGTGCCAAATTTGGTGATTTCTTGCCAAATTTGGCAACAAAAACTAGGCGCCCAAACCATCGCCAGTTTGGTTACATCTTGCCAACTTAGCGAGATAGCCATTTACCTCAATGTAAAATAGACTAGCCCCGGTTATCTTATTTTATCTTTCCTTTCTTGAAGCTGTTCATGTCACATTACACAAAATACGTAACAATACCTAGCAGATAGGAAATACATGGGAAATTTAGTTTTTAGCATTAAAAACTTCTGAAATTTAAAACAATTGTTACTATTCTGTTTTGAGGTCCGTAAAAAAATTGCAGCGAAAATGTATGCGCAACAGCGCCAAATCTAGCAAACGTGCCCATTTAACAGCGTGCCAAATGTAGCGAACGCGCTGATTTGCATAGATTGCGTAGTTTATATAGTTTCCTAATTTCTTAAGACGCCATTGAATACTAGTTTTCAATTTTTAATCCTTTTTTTGATATCCTATGGATTTAACAATTTTGCAATTGCCATTGACGAAAAGTCTGCGATAGTATTTTGGGTAAAGTGCAGAATCACCCACTGCTTGACACGTTTTTAGAATTGCACATACTCCGGTATCCATATACACTTGACTTATTTTTCACCTGAAAAAAATCCCCGAATTGCACAAAATGGCTGCGTTATCTATGTACTATCGACCTATTGTCACTTAAAAAGTAAAGAAATTGCACAAAAATCCAAATTGTTTTTAACCCTTGTAAAAGGGGCAAAACAAATAAGTGGGCAATTTTGCACTTTACCGAGAATGTTTTTGAAAGAACAGGCATCATTCATTATAGAAATGTATGTTTAACAACAACCAACGAGATGAATTATACTTTAAAGCGATAACTCTTTAGAGCGAAATAGTGATGCAGGCATCCATTCAGTTATGTTAGGAATTTTTATATAACAAATTATAATAATACCCAATAGTTTTATTACTCTTATGCTTCCTTTCATCTGTTTAGCCTTTTATATAGAAATGATAATAATAAAAAAGTATTATATGAATTACACTTTTCTTAAATTAACACACGCCAATCTTAGATAGCTATTACTGTTTAACTTTCCTTCTGTGTTGGGGTTGCCAGAATTATTTTTGGTAGCACTGGCATCACCAATAGTTTGGTGATTTTTTATGGCCCTCAAAACCGAATAGTACCAAATTTTGTCCATCTAATATTCTGGACTTCCATGGGATAATAACTGTAAGTTGAAATGCCTGATGACTGGCATCAATGAAATTATCGGCCACTTATTACTGGAATTTATATCAACATGCTTATGTTACAAACATAATAATGTTTAACTTTTATGTATTAGTAGTGATAACAAGGATAAAATTGAAAATCATCAGAATAATTTACAAACCGGTCTTATCTAATTAGGGGGGGCCCTCTTCCTGAAAATACAACAATCAGTCATTAATACACAAACTTAAAATTATATATGACATAATATCTTATTATATTACAAATGTAAAACATCTCACTAATGATAAGTACTATATAAATAACAAACAAATCACACTGATAGACCAAATAATTTGACCCACCCCCAAACACAAACCAACACGCCCTCCCCAACGCCCCCCTCCCCCCCCAAACCGACCCCCCCCCGCGCCCCCCCCCCCCCGCCCAACCGCCACCCCCCTCACCCCCAAACACAATGCCACCCCCGCCCCTACCTACCGCCACCCCAAAGCCACCCACAAATTTTCTTTTTCCTCCACCCCCCGGCCCCCCCAAGCGACCCCAGCCTGCGTCCCAAACCCCTGCGGGCTCGCCCAAGATGTTTACCCCCGACCCCAACCGCCAATGCGACGGGACGAAGGCCCCCTTCCACCTCCCCGTCGCAAGGAGTACGTGCCCCACCTAGTCCCATCGCCTCATTCGCCCCCTCCTTCCCCCCAACTCCCCCCTACAGCTACTCCACGCCCCCACATACTCACCAGGCTCCTACCCCCCCCGTGCCACCTCCCCAGCCCCGCCCGGCCACACCAAAGCTCCCCATAGCACCACGCCCCCCGCAGACCACACGCGTGACCGCTCGCGGCCATCCCCAACACCCTCTCATCGAACCCCACACCATTCAGTCCCCATCCACAACCCCTCTTTACCGGTAAAGGAGGCCCCCCACGGACGATATCCCTTAGTCCGACCTCCTCTGATTCCCACCCCCCGAGACACCGCACCGCGCATCCCCCGTCCCGAAAACCCACCAAGCAACGACTAACCTCCATCAGCCCCCGACGATACCCCCCGCCCACCCTTCCCCCCCCCCCATACCACTTCTGCGCCGCACCGCGAATAAACACCCTCCTCCCACCTCCACTATTACCCACTGCTGCCTCATCGACCAACTCAAAAACAGTACTCATACCGCTCCCCCACACCTCCCGGCCACCCACCCGCACAAAAACCATCCGACCCTACACCGCCAACCAACGCCAGACAACCGCCCTGGCCCTGACCCTCAAACCACCCCCCGGCATCAACCTGTCCCCGACGGGATTGACCCTCCGCCCCCACCAACACAGCCAAAGACAGTCCGTCCACCACCAAGACTCCGCCTTCTCCCTTCCCCCTCACCCGCTCAGCGCACCGCATACCACCCCCCGCCCCTTTTTCTACGCGGAACGCCACCGACGCAGTCGGTTACCCAACCTCGCCACCTCAGCCCTATTACCCAGCGGCCAGCACGCTTCCGCCCAACCCCTCTGAACAACCAGCTGCCACCACGTGGCTCCTACACTGGCGCGCCCTGACCCACACGCCTGAAAACCGATCAGCGACTTCGTATCGCCACGAGGGGCTCCACAGCGGGAAGGCGCACCCTCCGTCGTCGAGCCTCCTCCGTCCCCCGCAGTTTACAACCACCCCCCTTTTTAAAGACTAAAAACTACAAAAAATTTTATTTTGTGTTAAAAATTAAAAATATAACAGGCAATAAACAGCGAATGACATTCAAACACTTCCCAGTGTCTGTGAAATAAGACTCCTAAATAACATTTGATTTACTGGATTTGAATTTCATAGAAATATACCAGCTGCATGGATGTTTTCATTTTAAGAATACATATGAATCAGTTTCTAGTTATACTGACATTCAAATGAATATCATCAATGATTTCTGTTGTTTTACCCATCTGTCTTGCTGAATGAGCCAATTCACTTTTGTAACAATAGCACCTGCAGGAAAGTTTGGTATACTACATCACTCATTGTCTACCAACAACTGATAATTTTCTCTAAAACACTTGTAAGTGACACACACTGTTTCCCATACATTCTTGCCAACCATCTAATTCTTCCACTATCAGAAAGCAAAGTAACATTGTTCTTCTTTAGAAGTTTCTATGTTTTGTCTTTGAGCTCACTTGAAGCATAATAACTGAGTAGATAGTGTAAATGATTAATTCCTCAACTTCTGCTTACAATACAAATAGTTCTCTTTGGTGTCCTGTGCAAGAGAGTACTTTTCTCTTTTAAGCTGTAACTACACCTTAGACACTTTAGCAACACAGCTTGAAAAATCAGGCTTTTTCCTAGTAGCCTTCGGTTCATTTTTTATTCAATGATCATTATGCACATACCTATTCCTAATTTTCTACCTTTTAAGGTAGTTGTAAAAGTGGTAAATGCCTCATTTTAATAACATTAAATAAGTTTAGACAGCTACAAAATGGATGAGAACAAATAACAATCCACAAATAAAGTTACTATTTTAATAGATTAATAAAATTATAATCATTATATGCCAAAATCATATCTCGTTAAATTAGCTGACAAAATATTAGTTGAATCTTCGTATGTTCTACAGATGTCTATAACAGATTACGTCATGGGTATATCAAATAAAATTTAATAACAAAGCTCAAAATCATTAGGAATGCAGGAATGAAATTTGAATAATTCAGTAAATTTCCTTTATTGCTGAAAAATACTTTCCAAAACTAAAAATTAAAATAGGGAGAGTCCAATGATCTAATGAGAGATCAGGAGACATGATAAAAACCAGAAATCGTAATATGTGTTTCTTGAAGTTCTTTCAAAATAAAAATAATAATAATAATAATAAATAAAAAAAAGGCGGCACTAAAAGTAAGCAGCATATTCTAACTACAGTTCACTCAACATATAAAATAATTTTCATGTGTAATGAATAAAACACATTCATCCTTGGCATATAGAGTTTTTTTTAGTTATTTTTCCTTAATAAGGCAGCAGCTGTTATCAAACAATAATGACAATCCCAATGACATACTCAAAATTTACTGCTGCTTATGACATAATTGTATATGAATATTTGAGCAAAATATTAGTTTCATGAGAAAAACAGACTAAGTTCATGTTACTGCAATTAAATAAGGAAAGTAGGAATGAAGAAAAAAGGGATTGTGTGATCCATCAACTTCTTTATCTCTTAGCATAATCTTTGGCTGTAGCTCCATTTTGTTGCTGTGTTACCATAGTTTCATTTGTATTTGTTGGAACACAATCTTTCACTACACATAAGTCCTTTCCAATGGAAGATTTTTTCAGCAAATTCTCCATATTTTCCCAACTTTCTAATCATAAAATAATTGGGAAACCTTGATAAAAAAATCAGCAAAAATCTCATACGAAAAACTTTTGATGCATTTTGTGGTGCAAGACTGCTATTACGTGTATGCTGGTATATATCCTGGCTGTTGTCCATTAAAAAATATTAATGTTAAGAAAGACATAAATTATATTATAAAACTGTTGGAAGACATGCCTATGAACACTGAATACTTTAACAGTTGATCCCTAATACAGAATTCTATTTCCTTAGCAATACAGAGAATTATATAAATTATATAATAAGCATGCTCAAAAGAATTAAAACAGAGATTAAATAATTTAACTTACATCTGCCTCTTCATAATCCTGATCAGAATCAACATGATTTTTCCGCGTTTTTCTGGGGGAACGAGCAGATTTCTTTCTATTCCTATCTGGTGATTCTTCCTAAAAAAGTAATCAATTCATTTGATTCAAAATTTACTTCATAAAATCTCTTACACATATCTGAAATAGCAAGTCAACATTTAAGTAGCCTTGCTACAGCTTTTAATAATTTTCTGACACATGCAATGTGCATAAAATTCTTATTATCTATGCAATTAATAAGCTGAAGCACAGAATCGGACAGCATTCTGAACATTTACATATTGTCTTAACAGCTGTTGAAAATTAATAAATAAGCATTCTGAATTAACGTATATTTATAAATAAAAAATCATAGCACTATAGTTAATTAAAACTCCCTGCTCATATTCAATCCAACTACAGCAGTATGCTATTTATGAAATATAAAGCGGACTGCAGTATACTCAAATAACTATGGAACAAAAAATTATACTTCATTACTAATTCAAAGCAATATATTACTATAATCATTGCAGACTGAAATCTTAATTTATTCTTTCATGCATAAAAGAATAGAATTACTTTGTTATACACCAAGTTCTTACCAAGCCATTATTTTTATAATAATTGGCCACACACATGTAACTTTTTTACAAAACTGTTTTACTTGATGGAAAGATTCAAGCTTTAGCATTTAAAAAAAAAAAAAAAAAAAAGAGTTAAAAATTTCCAAACCTAGCTTTATAAATGGTCTCCAATACTTGTACTTATATACTTATGATCAGCTGTTTATGACTTCTAATATGCTATTTAACGTTCAAAAAGTTAGCTACATGTTACATTGGGATAGGGAGTCTTCCCAGGTGCCCGCAACCATGAACTCTGATAATGAAGCGATACACTTATGAGAATGCTCAAAGGAATTGAAACAAAGATTAAATAATTTAACTTACATCTGCTTCTTCATGATCCTGATCAGAATCCACATGATTTTTCTGTGTTTTTCTAGGGGAACGAGCAGATTTCTTTCTGTTCCTATCTGGTGATTCTTCCTAAAAAAGTACTCAATTCATTTCATTCAAAATTTACTTCATCAAATCTCTTACACATATCTGAAATAGCAAGTCAACATTTAAGTAGCCTTGCTACAGTTTTAATAATCTTTTGACACATGCATGCACATAAAATTCTTACTATCTATGCAATTAATAAACTGAAGCACAGAATCGGACAGCATTCTGTACATTTACATATTGTCTTGACAGCTCTTGAAATGAATTAGCCCATATTTATAAATAAAAAATCATAGCACTATAATTAATTAAAACTCCCTGCTCATATTCAATCCAACTACAGCAGTTAGCTATTTATCAAATATAAGGCGGACTGCAGTATACTCAGATAACATTGGAACAAAAAATTACACTACATTACTAATTCAAAGTCTGCATTACTAATTCAACAGGGTTCATAGCCACATTTTAGTTAAAAAAATA